AAGCTGTCAGCACAGAGCCTGATGCAGGGCTTGAACCCACAAACTGTGAGATCACGACCTGAGCTCAAGGCAGACACTTAACCGACTGAGCCACCCAGGCACTCATAAGTTCCTATTTTAAATCCAGAATAGTTAACACAGTGCTATATTAGTGTCAGGTATACACTATAGTGATTCAGTGTTCTATTACTTTATATAAATAAGCTGATGATCCAGACAGGCCCAGACGAGTAGACCTTGGCTCTGTAAGAGCCTTCTAAAACATACTAATCAATGAGGCCTGGGCGAAAACAGTGTACCTGATCTCATAAAGCATATAGATGGACAGAGACATGCTACAAGTCAGGGCATGAGAACAGTTGACACTTGAGAGGCATAAGAATATTCTAGGAGTCAGGGCATCCAGGTGGCTCAGTTGGTTAAGCTTCTGACTCTTGCTTTCAGCTCAGGTCATGATCTCATGGTTTATGAGAGCCCCGCATTGGGCTTTGTGCTGACAGTGTGGAGCCTGCTCGGGATTTTTCTCTCACCTCTCTCTCTCTGCCCCTCCTTCTCTCTCTCAAAATAAATAAACATGAAAAAAATTATTCTAGAAGTCAAAATTACAGTCGTTAGATAGGAGACTGAAGCCCGACCAATTCAGCACAATAACCCCCAAATTAAGGTTGGGAGGCAGAAGAGGATATCGGTGAGACACAAAGGCTCAGAAGTCAGCAGCCTGTATTCAATTCCCAGGCCCGACACTGACCAGTTCACTGTGCCACATTGAGCAGTCTACCTAGGCTCTCTGAGTTTTGGCTTCTCTACTGGTAAAATGGAGGTAATAATTAATCATAATAATAATTTGCCTCATAGGGTTGTTGATAGAAATAAATGAGATAACGCCTGTCAAGTGCTTAGCAGGAATGCCTAGAATGTAGTATGTGGTTAGCAAACCTTAGCTATTAATCCAAGAATGAGACTTCAGAAGCAGGGAAGAATTTCAGCTTGAATTAGGAAGCACCCTCTACATCACGAAGGAGGTAAAAGTAGGACACGTACAAGGAAGCATACATAGGAGACAGAAAGATCAAGAACTCGCTGTCTCAAGTAGGCTGTGCAGGTTTGGAATATAAGTGGAGCTCGATGCCCCACTATGGTTACCCTGGAGCCTTCGCTTTCCTCCTATTACCACTCTTCTCTCTAACCTAAATACCTGCCATGGTGTCTGTCACACAGTAGATGGCCATGGTGTCAGTTGAAAGAATAAACATAATCAAAATGGGCTTAAACACACACACACCCTGTCTCTGGCTTCTCATTTACACAACAAAAGGGCATTCGAAAAATTAGCCTCATAGATAAACCCACATATTATCAGAAAGAGGTGTTCTTTGCAAGACATTTTTTTTTTCGTTTTCTCATTTTTGTAAAGGAAGTGAATTTTAGTAAGGGCAGAGAGAATGTGTAAACTCACCACAGGTGCCAAATCATAACACTGTCACAGGAGAATTCACACCTATAGATGAGCTAGTTGAAGAACAAAGTTAGTTTTGAAAGGTTAGAGAAGAAGATTTTGAAATGTCAGATCCACTCTATAAAACTGACCACCCTTGGCATCATCCTTTTAATCAACCTGGATTTAAGAAAAGCCCAGGGCATTTGAAATGAAGACAATTAGCACCTCAGACAGGGCATCCACATGCAAAATTCTGTCACTTCTCAGAGACCTCAGGAGGTGACAAGTTTAGATAAGAAGACACTTTCAACCTTGGCTGACAGTTTGTCAATGCTCTTATATTTGACTTAAATGGCATCTATATTTTAAAGGTGGTAGTTTGCTTTAAACTGTGAAGCTCTCTTCCTCTCCCTCATGATTTTTATTTCTTAGGTCGTTGAAAAAACAACAAGAACAAAAATCTTTCCTCTGTTGGGTGAGATCTGAGGAAATAGCTCTTGCTTCTTGCACACAAATGAGCTCAGGCTATTTCCCTTCTGTTTCTCTCTCAAAAGTACTCTTGGCTTTGCTTTAAAACACAGAATGTGAAAGCTGGAAGTGGCCTTAGGGGTCATCTGGATCGAGTCCATTTGACAGATGGAGAAAGTGAGGCTCAGAAAGAGAAAAGTGATTTAGTGGGAAAACATGGAGTATAATTTGACTCTCATAATTGCCAGATTAATCCTCCTTCCAATTTATTTTGCCATTCCACAGGTGGGTCAGAGGCATGTACAACCAAGTGTGTGTGTGTGTGTGTGTGTGTGTGTGTATTTTTCTCTTATTTTCTTGAGAGCACTAATTTCATTCATTCACTCACTCAACAAATATATTTAAGTATCTAAGATGTTCTCGATGGGGGGTGCCTGACTGGCTCAGCCGGTAGAACAAAAACATGTAATTCTTCATCTCAGGGTTGTGAGATCGAGTGGGGCATAGAGTTTAATTAAAAAATAAAAAAGTGAAAACAGAATGTAAGAAAGTGCCAGACAGAAGACAAAGTGGTGGTGAATGAGGTACACAGAATTCTGCATCACAGACCTTACGTTCTAGCTCAGGATACAGGCAATAAGAAATTAATGAGATAATTCTGCTTCTAAGTGGATTATGCTTATATTTGGGGCCCATTCTTCCTCTTTCTCTGTTGCTTCATCTACTATCTTCATTGTTCCCCCCCTTTCCTCTCTTGTGGGTATGGCGAGAGAGAGAAAGAAGAGAGCCATTTCAGACCCTCCTTCTCCACACTTTCAAGCTCTCGGTGTGAAGTTCGGAATTTGCTAAAGTCAGGTTCAGTAATGGTGTAGCACTCGAGTGAAGATGTCAGTATTTTTCATCAACACTGCAATAGTGGGCTGGCCCAGCCGTCAGCCTGCTGGTGAGATGACAATGAGGTACTGGATGTGAGAGTTGTACTATTACCTTATAATTTATCTGTTCTTTTTTTATACGATTTTAGTTGTGCTGAACCCCATCGTACCTGGCTGCTTTGACAGGTGTGCTATTTTAGCAACACAGAACAAAACAGAACGAAAAGAAGAATGCATGGTACACTTTTGCTGTCAGATCCAGGTTGCTCTGTTCCTAAGTTTGTGGATGATTTGTTCAGGGTTGTTCAGAGACAAAAGAAAGCAAAACTTGGGTTTCATTTTTACCTATGTGACACAATGTTATCACAATTTGCCTCACAGGTGGGCTGCTGGCCATATGGACTGAATGAGGGCCTGGCTCCACTTTCTTCTCCCGTCTTCTCCTTTTGTGTCCAAAATGTCACCATTGTGATGAACTTCTCTGAGCTAATCATTTGCCAGCTCAAAATATAAAGAGTTCAGGGCAGATTAACTTCTCAAGTCCTTAACATTGGTGTATGCATTCACTTATTAGATCAATTTCTTCCTTGGCCCAAAGCATGAAGAAGGGTGAAAGACGGACTTGACCATAAGCAAGTGAGATAGAAAGATTAGGAGACAATTCTGGCTCAGTTCTCCAGAGCTATCCCTAAATAATCATCTTGAATGGTGTTTTATTTTCTTTGTTTATTCTTGGTGTTGTAAGAGGCTTATGTTTACACTTCATCTACTAAGCTTGAGAGATTCTGAGGTTGGGTACGCTTCAATCAAGGAGAGTCACGGGGTGCCTGACTGGCTCAGTCGCTAGAACGTGAGACTCTTGATCTCAGGTTGTGAGTTTGAGTCCCATGTTGGTGGGTAGAGCTTACTTAAGGAAAAAAAAAAGCCAAGTCACCACTAGCTGCCACTGAAATCTCGGAGGACTGTTCTCAAACCTAGGGGGTGGCAGACAAAAATCTGGCTTTGGTGCAAGGCATCTCTGTGCACCTGATCCACTAGTAGGGCATGTGAGGATTTAAAAAAGTGTTGTCTCAGCCCTGAGCCCCCAGCCTTACCATGTTCGCAAAGAAGTAGGTGGTGAAGTTGTGGAAGAGATACAACAGACACATGGCGTTGGTTATTTAAATTCCAGCTTTACAAGTATTTTTGCATAATCACAAGGAAAAATGGAGAAGACCACCCAGCTTTGTGCATTAAACAAAGTCTTACCGCAATGAAAGAGGAGGAAGTTTGGGGGAAATATTAGTTAACAGCATGTTTTAAAATAGAAGCAATGCCCTATTTCAGAGAAGGACATGAAAGTTGAAAGGTTTTAAGAAATGAATGATAGCTTAGCATCAACCGAGGAAAAAACATACTCTATTCACAACAGAGGGTAAAATAATCAACACTCGCAACATGATTTGAAACGAGTTTTATGCCCCAAATGCTGAAAGGTGGGCCCTGTATGTCAAAGGACATACACGAGTCTACCTAAAGACAAAGCACCAATGAAACAATTCATTCTCGCATCTAAGTCTCATCAGATAAAAAAATCTGGAGCATCTTTGGACAGAGGCTGACTTTTGTTCCTCGATCAGCACTCTGGGATCTTGGACAAGAAAGTAGGAAAAATCAGTATTTAATCGGGATCAGGATCACTCAAGAGGAGTCGGACGAGTAGAAAAGGAGACTGGCCCCACGGTGGCTTTTCACCCACTCCTTGTGACGGTGGAAGAACGTCCTGGCTGTGCTCAGGTGCACGCCCATAGTACTGGTAGTTTCTGTGCTGTGGTCTGAGAGCTTTGGGTTCTTTCATTCTCTGTCAGCATGTCTCCCCCTGGCATGAAGGCAGTATACAACTTGCCTCTATCATCAATCTCTTTGGGACGAGTTAAGCTAAGTCATCCCCGGTGGCCCCTGGGAAAACTGCAAGAACGGAAGCATTAGCAAGCATTCCTATCCGTACATGAGGGTCTGCCTTGGTAGTCCACCCCAAATCTTGCAAGGGCCGTCTTCCAACGGGCCTCCCCTGTCCTTCTGAACCCCGTGTTGGGGGTGGGGGTGGGGTAGTGGGTGGGGGCGGGTAGGGGGATCGAACCTTGTGGCAATAACCAAGCTTCTAAATTGCTGAGCTGGTTTTCATTGAAGTGTGAGAAGGAGGTTTTAAGGCAGATAGACAACATCCTGTTGTTGGGGCGCTCCTCTCCTTTTTCTGTGCATCTGGCTGAACTGGGAGTCAGGTGGCTGACTGGGGCCCGGCTTGCAGCAGCGCTGGTGGCACCTGCCTTGCGCGGTCCGACGCCTCAGCGGCCCGAGAGTCCCCCAGGCCATGGACGCGGTGGCCGTGTACCACGGCAAAATCAGCCGGGAGACGGGCGAGAAGCTCCTGCTGGCCACGGGTCTGGACGGCAGCTACCTGCTGAGGGACAGCGAGAGCCTCCCGGGCGTGTACTGCCTGTGTGTGCTGTGAGTACGTCGCGGTGGCCCGGGGGGTCCGGGCCCGAAGGGGACACCTGCTGGGGGCGCCTGGGTGGCGTGGATGGGAGGCAGCCGCAGGCCAAGGCCAGGCTTCCTCTCCTGCCCGCGCGACAGCCCCAAGGCCCTCCTCAGGTCCAGCCTAGGTCGGTGGCTGTCCATGCTTTGGCTTAGGTCCCTCCCTGAGGATTTCGCTCCCTGGGCCTTGACACTCCAGAAGGGCCGCCTCCCCACGGTCTTTTGTGGCGACTGCGGAGAGAATGAATGCCCTTTGGGGTGGGGGAATGCAACCTAGAATTTCCTTTGCTTCGAGAATGATCCAGGCTCCCGACTTCCCGTATTGACCTCTAGTCGAGGCCCGCAGGGTGGAGCCCTGGGATGGTGGACCGGGCAGAATGGGGGCCACCAGCTCCTGAGAGAAGGAAAGGCCTCACTCCAGACCTCTTTAAATGGAATTGGAGGTGTCCCCCCACAGGCAGAGGACAAGGGAGAGGAAGGAGACTAAGAAACGAACTCTATTGCTTTAAGAGTGCAGTGCCCGTTGGGCTGGGATGCTGAGAGGGGGGAGTTTGTAAGGAAAGCTGCCTCTCTGGATCTGCTCAGCTTCCTTTAGAGGAGCTGTGTGTGTGGGCAGGAGGTTCCAGAAGCAGGACCCTTCTTGATAAAAAGTGAGGGCTCACAGGAGTGGTAAAGGGCATGGAGGGAAAACACCCTTGTTATGATTCAGCTTTGCCCTTTACCTAAGCATGCCTTAGCCTAACGCCCATTTTGAATCAGATGCACCTTCGTCTTGGCTCCAGGGTCAGGGTCAGGATCTAACAATCCTGTGCTAGTCTGATGGTAGGCTTGTGACCTGGCAAGTTAACCTCTCAGCGCCTCAGTTTTCTTGTCCATAAAATGGGTATAATAATACTACCTGCCTCCTTGGATAGGGAGGATCAAATGTGATAATGCCGGTGAAGCATTTAGGACTGGGCCTGACACATCATAGATGCTCAGGAAGTGTAAGCTATTATTATTATTGTATTTGTTTTCACTCGAGTTCTTTCAAAACTCCTGGGGCATTTCTAAGGAAGGACCTAGCTCCACCACTTTTTTGTCTGCAGAATAAAAACGCCCATGAAAACACCTACGCTGCGTAGTAGGTTCTAGTCCAAAACAAAATGAAGAAAGGGGCTTGGTAGTAATTTTGATACCTAATGAGACACTGCAGGATTGTGAAGTACTTTCTGGGTCAGTGAAGAAAGATCACACTGAGGCGGTTGTTAGATGATTTTCGCTGTTTGTTGTTTCTTCCGTGGTTGAGCCATGCATGTGGTAACTCACAGGCCATGCTAAATACATAGATTCTAGAGGCTTGAAGAAAAATACATGGAAGCAGGCAAAGCTCTTGGGCTCAGATATTTTTTTTTCTTTTTTCTTTTTGAGATGTAGTTGACATACAATGTTATTATTAGTTTCAGGTGTAGAGCATAGTGACTTGACAATTCCATGCACTACAAAATGCTCACCACGATACGTGGTCACCATCTGTCACCACACAACGTTATTACGATATACTCCCTGTGCTGTGCTTTTCATCTCTGTGACTTATTTATTTTCTAACTGGAAACTTGTACCTCTTTATCCCTTCTACCTATTTTGCTCATTCCCCCATCCCTCTCCCCTCTGGCAACCACCAGTTTGTTCTTTGTATTTAAGACTATGTTGATCTCACTTTTTGGATTCTGCATATAAATGAAATCATATGGTATTTGTCTTTCTCTGCCTGACTTATTTCATTACCATAATACCCTCTAGGTCCATCCATGTTGTCACAAATGGCAAGATTTCATTCTCCTTATGGCTGGGTAATACTCCATTCTATATATATACCACCTCTTCTTTACCCATTCATCTGTTGAGGGATACTTGGGTTGCTTCCGTATCTTGGCTATTGTAAATAGCCATTATTGTAAATAATGCTATAAACATTGAGTGCATATATTTTTTCCCAATTAGTGTTTTTGTTTTCTTTGGGTAAATACCCAGTAGTGGAATTACTGGACCACGGTATTTCTATTCCAATGTTTTTCAGGAACCTCCATACTGTTTCCCATAGTGGCTGCACCAATTTACATTCCCACCAACAATGCAGGAGGGTTCCCTTCTTTCCACATCCTTGCCAGCACTTGGTATTTATTGTCTTTTTGATACTAGTTTTGGGCACAGATCGTTATAATATGCTTACATTATTGTTTTTCCCCAGTGGAAACTGGGGTAGGTAAGTCAGTGAAGGGCAACGGCTATTCTTAGGCTCTTATCAAAAGAATGTGAAGGAATGAGTGGGCAAATGAAGGGGGCTTCTTTAGAGAAGCTGACAAGGGAGGTAATGAGCTCCTTAACCTAGAGGTAAAAAAAAAAAAAATAAGGTCCAATAGAAGCCTGGACAGGAGTAAGATGAGAAAGTGTGTGGCAAGATGCACCTAAGACTTGGCCACACTGGCTCCTTTCTTGTTTCTCACAGCTGCCAACTATGCTCTCCTCTTAGGATCTTCACAGTTTGTTACTTTTTTTTTATTTGAGAGAGAGAGAGAGAGAGTAGGGGACAGGGGCAGAGGAAGAGAGAGTGAATCTTATGCAGGCTCCGCACTCAGCACGGAGCCTAATGCGGGGCTTGATCCCACGACCCTGAGATCATGACTTGACCTGAAATCAAAAGTTGAATGCTCAATCGACTGAGCCACCCAGGCGCCCCTACAGCTTGTTACTTCTGCCTTTTGCTTCAGCGACCACTTCCTTGACCACCCTCTCTAAATTAAGTACCTTCTCCCTGTGCCTGTTGTACTCTGTCACTTTATTTTTCTTCAAGAACCTTTGAACTATCTGACATTTGCTTGTTTACTTCTGTATTGCTGTGTTCCCCAGCAAAAATGGAAGCTGAGTGAAGGCAGGGACATTGTCTCCCGCACCAGGAACACAACCTAGCACATAACAGCCATTATGAGGCACATTATGAGGCACATAATAGACACGCAGTAGATATTTTTGAATTAACAAGTGGATTGCTATAGCAAATAGACTTTACTGCAAAGAGCTTTGGACTGATAATCAGGAGGCTGGGGTGTGGACTCTGGGGGAAGTCACTCAACTTCTCTGGGTCTTGGTCTCCATACCTGTTAAATAGCTATGCAGAAGAGCTGTTGGTAAAATTTGCAAAAGAGAGGCTAACTTTAGCCTTTTGCCCATGTACACCAGGGCCACATCAAGAATTAATTTAGGAAGGGTGGGAAATTCTCAAACATTTAAGTTTTCACCCAAAGCGAATCTTGCATAAATGCAGTTTTTATGACTCTTAGTTCTCCATGCAAACCTCCCTATGAAGTAGCAGAATAAAGTAGGCATATTGGGAGTCCCCTAGCATGTCTTTTGATGGGCACACTGGGGCCCCAAAGTCTTAGAGTGTGATTGCCAGGCCGAGCTATAGAGGGAAGACAGAAAGGTACATTGTCTTTTATGAGTGTTTCTCAATCTTTTTGAGCCAAGGGTCCCTTTTGATAAACATAAAAATTTCATGTCCCCATTTTAGTACTATGCTATAGTAACAATAATCAAATTTTATCTTGAAATAAACCATGTACTCATTTCAACCCAAAACCTGTATGCTTATGATATGCACTAGAAATAACCATGTAAATGGTATCATATGCCGATGAACAAGATCTAGCTAACAAACATGAATTGATTGTAGAGTTCACTCAAAGTAGTTTCTCATTCTATCTTTTGTTTTTTTCCCATTATCCAAGAAGGTTTGGTTGAGTTTTAGTTTCTGTATTTTTATTGTAGAAATAACACATTACGTGTACCTTTCAAACTGTACTTTAAACTATACTGTCAAGCTACGTTTGCTCCTTTCCCTGATTCTGAGCCCCCAGTCAAGGCCTTTAGTTATGGCCTTTCCTCTGTTCGGTTTTGGAAAAATGAATCTTATAAAGTGCTGAAGGTGTTTTCCATTTATAGAATTGCTCACCTTCCTTTTAAGTGAGTTTTCCTTTTGGTTATTTTCAATAAATAATATTTTCTAGCCTTTTGTATAATGTGTCTATTAAAAATAGATCCTAATACCTATTCATTTTATAGAAAATTTGAAAAATGTAGAGCATGGAAATGAGAGAAATCATCTATACTTTTTAAAGCTAGGGACCTTTGTTGAAAATTAAGTGCATTTTCTTCCTTATTTTAATCAAATAAATTGCTTTGTTAACACACATGTGCTCTTACAATATTGTATTCTACTGCATTTTCCATTTAACATGAAAAAACCCCATTCATATGTAATATTCTTACCAATGATTTTAAGACATTATTTTTAATGGCTGCATGATAGTTCAGCCAGTGAATGTAGTATATTTTCCTAAACCAGTCATCTATTTTTATACATTTGACTCATTCCATTTTTCTTGCTGTTATGTCGTCATGATTCATGTTTCAATCCATAAAGTTTTCCTTGTATTTATGATTACTTCCTTATAATGAATTTTAAGATACTCAATTTCTAGGTCAGAAAACATTAGCAGCTTAGGATTTCTGATATATACGTGATCACCAAATATTTTTTTAAATGGTTATGCCAGTTTATATATATGCTCACCAGTAATGCATGAGAGTGTCCATTTCACCATCCCCTCCTTAGAAATGGGTATTCTTGTTAACAAAAATTTTCCTTGAAACTTGGTGTCTTACTCTTTTTTTCATATTTCTTTGATTAGTGAGTGAGTGTCTTCTCTATGGTTGGTAAGCTGTTGTATTTCCTTGTTCATAAATTGGCTCTTTGTGTACCTTGCCATGTGGATCTTTCTATTTTTCTTAACACATTATGAATTTTTATATACAAATCCTCGATGTATTGCAAGTACCTTTTCTCAGTCTGGTGTTCGCCGTCACTTTTCTCTGATACACAAAGAAAGTTAACATTTTTAGTAGTTGAATCTGTCACTCGTTTTCTTTGTGTG